CGGGGGAGTGCTTTCTTCCGGCACCGGCCACAACAGCCGAGCTTCAAAGAGCCCCTGGTCTCAGTTTGGGAGAAGTACGGACATAGATCAGCCAGCACTGGGCATATCAAAGTTTATTGAGGAACGAATAAAGTAATTGCCTTGCCAATATGCATGGGGTACATCCAGCCCTGGGGCTACATCACGGTATTTCCCTGCCTCACCCGAGCTGCTGGTAGGGATCACAGGCGGCGCTGGAAGATCACGGTCCATGCGCTGTCAAATGGCAAAGTTGCTTGGACAGCTTTTTCGCCTGTCATTATGGATGCACAAAAAGCCTTAAGACACATTTTAAAGCGCAAAAATGCCATCTTGAGGCAAAAGTTAACGAGGTGTGAAGGTGCAGTCAGCATTGGTTGCTTTTAAAGCAGGCAGGTTTACGTGCCGGCAGCGCGCCTTGGACCACGAGGGATGCACAGATGGGCAGGGCGCCCGTGCACACTGCAGCAGCGGGCAGGACCCACTTCTCCCCACTCCTGGCAGCTTCGAAGCCCCCCTTGCACATCATCTTCTGAGCAGCTACCTCGGAAAGGTGCCTAATAATGCAATCAATGCCACCAACGTCCTGGTTTTTAGGTAGGTAACACACACAGCAAGCGGCCAAGCGCGACAGGCTCAACTCCAACACCCATCGGACACTACACCAGATACTACTTAGCAGAACTAGTAATTCAGGCACAAAAAAAAGCCCCGAAACCTTCATTTCCACTCAAACCTGCAGCTCACTTGGTGCTGCGGGCAGAGACAGCTCGTGGGTGCCCTCTCCTGCTGTCACTAAGCAGCAGTGGTGGCCGTGGCGCAGGTGCCCATGCCCGCACAGCCCGGCCGTGCTCCGCCGTTGTGTCCGCATCCTCTCCCCGCTCAGACCACCGGTGCGTAGCAGGGTGGAAAACCCATTTTGGGCAGCTGGGCATGCACCTCCGCAGAAGAGGGTGTCCTGAACAGGCCAAAGTCTGCCCTCCGGAAGTCCATGGTAACAATTTTGCTGCCCTTCCTCCTTGCATCACCAAGAATTGAAAACTCTATATCATGGTCGCTAAGCCCAAGACAGCTTCCAACCATGACATCTCCCACGAGTCCTTCTCTGTTTGTAAACAGCAAGTCAAGTGAGGCACCTCCCCTGCTAGGCTCACTTACCAGCTGTGTCAGGAGGAGGTTTAGATTGGATATTAGGAAAAATTTCTTCACGGAAAGGGTAGTCAAGCATTGGAACAGGCTGCCCAGGGAGGTGGTAGAGTCCCCATCCCTGGAAGTGTTCAAAAAATGGGCAGACATGGCACTTGGGGACATGGTTTAGTGGGCATGGGGGTGTTGGGTTGACGGTTGGACTGATGATCTTAGAGATCCTTTCCAACCTTAATGATTCCTAGTTTTTACTTTCATTAAAAATAATCCAGCCACCAAGCCAGGAAACATGAAATTGCTACTCTACCTTTAATTGGTTTAGTGGTGGAGTTGGCAGTATTAGGTTAATGGTTGGACTGGATGATCTTAAAGGTCTTTTCCAACCTAAACAATTCGATGATTCTAAGATAACTGTGAGCAGCCCGGCTCTTCCTGGGCATTTTAGGCTCTTGGTGAGCACAGAAAACCTCCAGGAGAAGTGATGGGAAAAGCTGACAGAGAAGGTGATGGACCTTTAGGCACAAACCACCCCAGAGAGACCAGCAGCCGCTCTCTGCTTGGGAACCAACCTCTCCAGGCATGCTGCAACCTGGGGATCGGCACGTGGTTGGGGTGCTCGGCATCTGAACCCAGCCTCCTACTCCAGACCATCCACAGGGCATCCTCGCTGTTCTGTAAAGACCATGAATGAGGCAGCAGCGGTGCAGCGTGACAGCGTTTGCAGAAGGAAACAGGGCAGCCCACCTCTCACCAACTCTCTGTCACTGCTATTTGGTGCTTGTCATCCCGAAGATCTCAAGGTTGTGGCTTGTATTGACAGTCCCTCAATTCTTCTGGTTTTCTGACAGCAGAAGGTGCAAACAAATGCCTGCAGGTGCTGGGTGGCTCCATGCTCCTCAGCTGAACACACAGACGCTAAGGCACAGGCTCCTGTTCACTGCCACTTGCTGCAAATCAACCTTTTTCCCTAATTACCCCCAAATTTAAGCTCTCCAGAAGAGGAACACAGCTGCCCATGACCCAAGGTCCAGCTGGGTGAGTTCACAAGATCCACAAATGAGTTTTATCTGTGGTAGAACAGGGCAAAACACAGCAAATTTTCCTTTCCAGCTGGAAAGGGAAGTTGGCAAGGTCCAACCTGAAACACCACGATCTCGGGGTGGCTGCAAACAGCACACGCTGCTGCCCTACCGCTGCCGGCTCCTGCAATTGCTCCTTCTTGCTGGCACTTGCTTTAATGTGTCGGTCCAGATTAAGATCCCTTATTTGTGATTCTGCTTTAACAGCATTTAGTGCTGAGTAAGAGCAACCGAGGCCTGATCGAGCCAGCTCTGCTGGGCTCTAGCACTAAATGGCTACAGAGCATTAATCAGCTTCAGGCTCCTAATGAGTGCTCACTGCTAACGACCTTCCCCGCTGCCAGAAGGCTGAGTGGTTGAAGTTCCTTCCCTGGGGGATGGCTGATGCCAGAGCAGCCCCTTGCCCAGGCAGACATGATGGGCGGTGACCCAAATTGCACCAATCCCCACCCGCACGGGTGGAGGAACAGCTTCAAGGTCTCCTCAAACCCACCCAAGATGACCTCAAGTCCTGATGGGGCTCACGGGGGTGCTGGACCTGCTGAGAAAGAGCAGCTCTCAGCCATGCCAGCAAGCTGGCCCCAGCCCCAAGCTGCCGCCTGTGCGGTACGGGCTGCCTGGAACAGGGATGGTGCTTTCAGCAAGCCCCCGACTGCCCCATGCTCGTCGTGACCTACACATCGGTGTCAGGATGCAGCAAAACGAAGGTTGCACTTTGCCTGGGAAACAAGGTGGGTGAACGTGAATCTTTTTTCAGAGGGAAGGAAACCAGAAGCGATGCAGCTTCTGGCTCCGGCGCAGGAGGACCCAAATCTCTCCTCTGCCAGGCAGCGGTCCCATATCATCCTCCCCCAACATGTGCAGCCCAAGCCAAGCTAAAGATATAAAGAAAAAACTTAAATCCATCTTTTTTTTGTCAGATTCTGGTTTTCCTCCTCCAAAACCCCCTACTGAAGTTTCCTTTCCACTGCCCAT